CTCCTTTCTCTCTGCAACCCGGCCAGCGCACAAACCTCCTCCCTTCAACAAGACAACAAACCACTTCGCTGCATCCATCGTTTTCCATCGGCGGTCACTCTTACCTAGTCGCCGCCTCCGCTTCCAAGTTGTGCTCTCCGCCTCCGCCTCCGCCTCTATTCTAGGTCGTGCTCTCCGCCTCTAGGTCATCTCTCTCTGCTCTTCACCTTCTTTAATTTCTTTTCGATTAGAGGTGACGAGAACGAGGCTCAGACGTAGAAGATGACTACAACTTCAGATCGGCGACGATGGAAGCGATTACGATTAAGATCTGTGGAGGCGGCTAGGTCTGTGGTTGGGGACTGCGACGAAGCTCGAGGCAGTGGCGGCGGTTAGGGCTGGTCGGCGATTGCGACGGAGCTACGATTTGGCAATGGCTGTGGCGGCTAGGGCTGGGCTGGTTAGGAATTCATTGTGACGGGGATATGTCAGGGCTGTGGGGTAGGGGGCGGGTACAGTTCGAGAAGGGGATGCAAGCAGGTGTTTGGGTGGTTTATAACTGGGCGGGGACGGCGACGGAGGACTGGTCACTGGTGGCGGCGTAGGACCAGTCACTGGCGGCGGATGGGGGCCGGTCACTGGCGGCAGCACAAGATTGGTCACTGGCGGGCACGGGGACAAGTCACTAGCGGCAGTGCGGACTGCTCACTGGCGGCGACAAAAGAGTGGTCACTGGTGGCGAAGGGACGGGTGACAATTGGTCACTGGACAATAGTCATTGCACATTTGGTCATTGTGATGCAGGTCATTGGTGGGACGTATTAATTTTTGGTCACTGGATGAATTTTGTAACTATGTCATTGGTAACTGTAACATTGGTCATTGTGACGGGTTACTGTAGCAGGCCAGTGGGTTTGGGCTTAGTAAGGGTGTAACAATCCCTTAAGTATTATTTAGTCTTATTTTTTGAACTTAAAAGAAAAGTCTCTATTTTTGTCCAAATGATTTTAATTAGTATTATTTGAGGACAAACCCCACAGAAATAATTGTCATTAATTAAAAAGATGAACTTATAAATAATCCTAGGGTCTTGGAGTAAACAATGAAAAAAATGCAAGTAAATTTGTCCATAGGCCTCTCCGTAATGTTCATAACCCTTAAAAAGGGTTAGGCAGGCCTTATTTATAGAAAAAGGGGAAAAAATATGAATTCGGGCCGGTTTGGGATTCAATTTCGCGTAACCCGAGGCTACGCACGGAGTGCGTCCCCCCCACGCACGGCCGTGCGTGGCTGGCAATGTCTTCCTTGCTTTTCTCGCCTCAGACGCACGGTTGTGCGTTCCCCTACGCACGGCGTGCGTCAAACTTTTGAATTGTACAAAACTTCCTTCATGAAAGTTGTAGATAATGCAGTCCTATATCCACCACAACTTGCGGAAGTGGATTTGGATGATCCAATCAAGAGATATGATTAAAATAGTGGAAGGTCTTATTCTGAAATCGCAGCAGGGATCATCTGACTTCATCGTCTGTTTCTATCTTCTTCCTCTCCGATTCTCGCAAAGATGTCTTCATATGATTTGTAGAACTTGAAGTTAGCTTTCATGCGGAATTTGAATTGTGTTCTTTGGATGTTTCCACAAAGCGATATGCTTGAACGATTGACAGAAGGTCATCCTGATCGTCGTTTTCAAGCTTCATTCATCTTCTTTTGATCCCGAAGCCAATCCTAGAGCTCTCTTACCATCAAATCTTCATCGTACACCTCCCGGTGACCTCCAAAGATCTCAATCCACTCTCGAGTGTATCTCGAATCATCACGATTGCTCCTCAAATGCCGGCGCCGGACTCTAAATTTTTTATTTTGACTCCAAATGACACAAAACTCGAACCAACGTCAGATAAACATAACTTGAGCTAAAATTGAAACTTGTGACACCTTAAAGATAAGAAAATCATCAAAAGCCGATATCAACACACATCAAATGCGTGTCTAAATACGGACTTATCAGATTCCCCCACACTTAAGCATTTGCTTGTCCTCAAGCAAACTGAACAACGAGACTTACGATAATCACCACATGGAATTAAAACAATTAGCATGCATATTTAGTTAAAGGGATATTCACAGAACAGACAGACTATACCAAGAAAATTCCTCCCTAAACTACATTTTTGTACTCTAGCTAAAATATTCGACAAAATTATTCACAACATCCTCAAAGGAATGACAGCATACACTAATAAACTAGCTAGTGATCAGAAGGACTTATGAAGACGGTGGTGAATGGTGGGTGGTAATAAACAGTCCCTTTCTTGAGAGTTTGGAACATCCTTACAAAGACTCAATGCATTCAGGAATTTCGGGGCTATTATTAGGATCAAAGAACTTAGTAGGCCACAATTTAGGAACGATCATTTAAACCTATGCAAAGAGGAGACATGGTGTACAACTAAGCTAAACCGTCGCAGCACATTTGTGCTTTGACGTATACTTGAAGTACGCGAAGGACTAAAGCTAATTTTTGCAATAGCCTCCAAGTTCATTTAATTAGGTTCAGTTTTCCTTGTCATGTTGGCACGAGAACGCCGCTTCTTTCGAAAGATACCCGAGTCTCATCTTACGCTTTTTGACCGGGGCTCCCATTCTCTTTTTTGCAAGGTAAGAGGTCTAGTTATTAATTAATTTTCAGATTTTTACTAGACGTTACCCCATTCTAATCTCAGCCTCACCAAGGAAAAATAGCAATTAAAGTTCAATTGATCAAAGTAAATCCATGCCTACAATGCAATTCTCGAAAATATCAAATTCCTAAAAAGTGATTGCTCTTACCCCATTTGGGGCATAGGAACAGTGCCAAAAATGGCTCCTACCAAAATTCCCTAAACTTAGCAAATTAATCCCCTAGTTCCCTAAACACAGGCCTAAACAAATTCCCTAAAGACTTTGTCAGAAAAATTCACGGGTAAGGAAACACAGGCCATTTGGCTATGGAGCTCAATTAATTGGGTAAACAATAAACGGTCAGGTTCAAAGTGGTTTCTCCTGAAGGACTTATTCAGGTGGGATGGATGATTTTATGAAATAATTCGATGGGTGACTAATGCCTTCATCCTCTCAACAACTAGATTATAGTGCAAGCAATTTAAGCCTAAACACTTCAAGGATGTCCTAAAAGCATAGTCAAAACGTTAGCCAGCTCACAACGACACAGTTTAAAGAAAAAATTTCAAAAATTTTGACATGAATTTTCTATGAATATACAACTAACACTTGCGCATGCTAACTCTAAAAATCACATGTAACAACTACTGCCCGAATGCCCAATTCACTCCCTCACACTTAAACTTTAGCATCGCCCTCGATGGCAAAAAATGCACTATGCACACACAAGGTGGTAAAGAGGAAAGGGTCACGCGTGCTCAACTTAAGTTAATTATTTACAAAACAGGCGATTATAAAAGTTGCAGAAACTTCCGTAAGGCGTTGGTCGGTGCAGAACTAAACTGAGTCAAGTAATCCTCGACACATCATCGCCAAAGCAAGACCCTGAGCTGCAAAAACAAAACACACAAAACACACAAAACGAAAAATAGAAAACACCCGGTTTTTTTTCGGGGGTTTCTTGAAAACAAACAAACAAAAACAAAAGTGCAGAAATAAGCTTGGGTTGCCTCCCAAAGCGCTATTTTTAACGTCGTTTGCCCGACGCAACCACCTCATCAAAAACTCAGTCAAAGACACTCCCGCTCAAAAAATTAGTCTTCCACAAATCAAACCTCCTGTCAACAAATGCCCTGAGATGGCGTAAGACCTTAAATTCATGAAAACAATTACGCATCTGAGGGTCACCCGTAAAGCAAAAGAATGGACCGTGACCTTTATCGGGCCCTTTAGCAAAGAATGGGTCAAAGAATGGACATCTCCCTTTCATGTCAAAAATTTTCCGGGCTAGAGCTTCCCTTTGTTCACTAAGTAAACTAAAACATGCTAAATTTTGGGATGACTCAAGATCGGGTGTAAGAATAACAGGGGGGTCAGTACTATTATCAATAAAATCATACTCAAGGTGGAATGGAAGAGACTTTAGATTTAATGGAGAAAGACTAACAAAAAAGAATCAGATTGAAAATTTTCCTTCTCCACCTTATCTAAATCATCTTCTGTCCCCTGCACAGAACTAGCATCACTTGAGTCCTCATCTCCACTAATCATAAGATAATCAAAACTAGGGAGGGGCTCAAGATCCTCTGCTGACACACTATCCTCCAACAAAAGGTCAAAAAGGGCTTCATTAGAAAGCATGTCAGGGGTGAAATCCTCCACCATAGAATCTATGTCATCCAAATAAAAACACTCTCTACTATCCTAACAGGGCCTCTTCATTATTTTGGACGTATCAAAGGTGGCGGTCTCATCCCCAACGCGGAGGACAAGCTTACCGTCTCCAACATCAATAAGTGCTCGGGCGGTTGCCAAGAATGGTCTTCCCAAAATTATAGGTACCTCACGATCCTGATCCATGTCCAGAATAACGAAATCTACAGGAATAATAAACTTGTCCACTTTAACCAACACGTCTTCAACAATCCCTTTAGGATATTTGACTGAACGATCAACCAACTGTATGCACATACGTGTTGATTTCAGTGGACTGAGTGCAAGCTTCTCATACAAAGCATATGGCATCAAGTTAATTCTTGCACCCAAATCAGCTAAGGCTCTATCAAAAGTAAGATCTCCTATTAAGTAAGGCAGTGAAAGAACCTGGATCATTAAGCTTCTCTGGTAGATCCCTCCTAATCACAGTTGAGCAAACCACGTTACGCCTCACAGTTGATGCTGCTTCCAGCTTCCTCTTGTTAGTAAGCAGCTCCTTCATGAACTTCGCGTACTTCGGCATTTGCAAACGCCTTCGTGTGGTGATTATCGTAAGTCTCGTTGTTCGATTTGCTTGAGGACAAGCAAAAGCTTAAGTGTGGGGGAATCTGATAAGTCCGTATTTAGAAACGCATTTGATACGTGTTGAAATCTTATTTTGAGAGTTACGAAATCCTCCAAATTCGTGATTAAAAAATCAATCGTTCACGGCTTGGGCTGTGTGTGTGGCAGGCATTGGATTGGATGACTGGCGGCTGGGTGATGATAGAAGCCAACAGAAAAGCGAGGGGAGATACCGGTCGACTGCCGGCCTTTTCCCGTCATCCGGACGCGATTGTAACACGGCGACTCCTATGCTGTTTTACGAAAGTTTATTTATTCTGTACGGTAACGACGATGACTTGATCCCCCTTTACAAGTCGTTCAAATTGTGATCAATTGCGGCGGTTCACAGCAGTATCATAATCCATGGCGGATGCTTTGAGACGATAGCTTTTAAGCATGCTACTCCTAAATAGCAACGCTTTTGTAGTTTCTTTTCTCTTGTATATCAGCATTTACATTTTTTGGATTTTGTGGATCTCAGTAGATTCTCCGGTTTGCTATCCATTGTATTGCTAAGTTTTGTTGTTTAAATGCAAAAATGGGCAATTCCATTATTAATGCCTTGGTAAAGCTTAACTGTTTCCTTTCCAGGTAATGGTACATATTGCACTTGTCAGCTCTAAAGTATCGGATGTATCAGCAGAGTAAGATCGCCACAGAACATGACAAACTTGAATTTCTGCTTTTAGATTTATTGAACCAATATACTAATGGTATCCCTCACGTTTCAGTCAAACAAAGCTCAGAAATCCCGTGTCCCTGTATGCTTGCTCAGAGTGCATTGATAGAAAGGTATTAGAACTCCTCATCTACATTTTTGCTTTCTTATTCCTATCCTCTCTTTAAGTATGAAGAAATGACTTTGCAGATGCTAAGTAGTACAGGATCTGAGGCTCATCCAGATGATAAGGTATAAACTGAGTTACTTCATTTTGGTGATGATTGTACTATTATAGTGATTGTAATTATCTTTCTCTATTGATGTAGGTTATTGACATAATTGTAACATATAGTGATGCTCTTGGTGCTGTTAGAGCCACTCGTGTGAAGTCTGAGAACCTTTCCAAGTTTTGGGTCTGGAAAAGTCCCACTGAGGTGAATATTGATGGAAACGAGAGTTCTAAGGTGTTTCTTCTTCATATGCCAATTTTGTAACTGTTCTATGCTCTCTTTTGTAATTCCCTGATAGTGACTAGAACATTTTGCATGCACTGCATAATCAGGGATCGGAGGATCCACTTCAACTTGGGACTAATTCTAAGTATAGTAATCATCATACTAAAGAAGATGTGAGCCAGTGTGCTGATATTATGCCACATCAGCAACCATATATGGTGCATCCAATGAAACTCAAGCGCAAGGTGTGATGTTTTAATTTGTTGTACTATTGCGTTAGAAAGGTTTCTTTGTATGGATTTTTGGCGTAGGGATCAAAGGCCATCAGATGAATACGACCCTAGTGCTCCACCACTCGAGATCGGATGGCTGAGAGCACCCAGTGGCAGATGACCCGATTCCCTATTGTATGCATGCTCCACCGCTCATTTTCCCTCCTTAATTAATGTCTTTTTTTGTATACTTAAAGTTAACACGGCAGAGAAGAAGGGAACAACGGGCTGCAGATCTAATTCGGCAGGACAAAGAATCAGACAACCAAATGCAAAATGCTGCCATTGAACGAACCCAAAAGCTGGATACAACAATTAATGGTAAATTCAATATACGGAGGAAAGAATATGAAAATCCCAACTCTGGCTCTATCCTGAAACTTATGCGTGACCAGATCATAATGGCAAGAGCTTATGCAACCATTGCAAAAGCAAAAAAGAGTAATAGTTCTTTGTATGACTCGTTAATGAAACATTCTAGAGACAGTCAGTTAGCAATTGGAGACGCTTCCTCTGATGCTGAACTGCTGCCAAGGTTTGTATTTCTTTTGTGTAGCTTAAATCAGGTTTTGTTTCATTCTTATGATTGATTGCAACTGCATCTCCCAAGGTTTGATCAAATTCCCAAATGATCCAAAATATTTGAGAAAATTACGTAAAAGCCCCTTGAGAGTCCAGATATTTTGGAATTGACACTGAAAAGTGATAAATTATATTGATATTAATAGGAAATAAGTTTTTGTAACGATTAAACTACCCTCACTATTTTTCTTGAACGTTCTTCTTTTTCTTTTAAGAGAAAGCTTTATATATTTTAGCCGATAGAGTGCTTTAAATTTGAACATGCACAACTCATGTTAATGTATCATCATTGATGGTACTATGGGCTCGACCCATAGCCCAATAAATCAGCTCCAATCCAATCCGAAAAAGGAACAAGGATCAGCCCAAGAATAAAGGATTAATGAATAAGCCAAACAAGCCTGAACAGGGAAATCAAAGCCCATTCGGAATTAACCATGCCAGGGCCAACCTGGACAGAAGGCCTCAGGCCCGTCCGGAGTCTCGTTGAGGCTGTACTTTCCCTAGGGCTTACGTGGCATTTCATTTATAACGGATGACTAATTGGCGGTGGCACGAAATACCTGGAGAGACGTAGGCATTAAGGAGGCATTAAGTACAAAAGTAATGAGTGGGACGTTACTTGAGTACTATTATGATTAAAGCTATTAAATATGTCAGTTATGTCTCCTAGTTGTACTGTAGACCTATGCCTATAAAAAGTCCTTGTAAATAACCTAAAACGGATTGCCTATTGAATAATAATACTGTCTTACGCTGCCAAATTATCTACTCTTCTGCTCATAACAAATTGATCGTTAATTAGCTCTTGCACTTGGAATTATACTCCATCAATCATAATCTATAATCTTTCACTGAAAAATCTGGCTAGTCAAAGGGCATTTTTCCAACATGCAGAAACCTTGAGGGAATTTTTTTCATTTGACCAAACCTTGGGGGAGGTACATGCAATCAACCCAAATCCTCATTCCATGTTTTTTCTTTCTCAGTGCATTAGAACGAGCAAAAGAAATGGGCCACACACTCTCCACTGCGAAAGACCAATTACATGATTGCATCAGTTTAGCTAGGAAATTAAGGGTGATGCTTCAATCTAGTGAAACAAGTGTAAATCAGTTGAAGAAAAAAAGTGCATTCTTGATACAGCTAGCTGCTAAAACTGTCCCCAGGCCATTGCACTGCCTTGCGTTGCTTCTAACAATGGACTATCATCTTCGTGGTTATGAAGGCATAGAATTTTCTAATAAGGAAAAACTTGAAAATCCATTACTTTACCATTATGCCATCTTTTCTGATAATGTACTTGCAACATCTGTCGTAATAAACTCAACAGTGCTTCACACAAAGGAGCCCGAAATGCACGTTTTCCATGTGGTAACAGATAAACTGAACTTTGCAGCTATGAAAATGTGGTTCATTGCCAATCCTCCTGCAGGTTCAACAGTTCAGGTTGAGAGTATAGACAATTTCACGTGGCTTAATACATCTTACTGCCCCGTTTTACGTCAGCTTGAATCTGCAAGAATGATAGAGTATTACTTCAAGGCGCACCACACTGCTTCCCTCTCTTCTGGGACTGACAATCTGAAGTACAGAAACCCTAAATATTTGTCGATGCTGAATCATCTGCGGTTTTACCTCCCTGAAATTTATCCAAAGTTGAATAAGATCTTGTTTCTTGATGACGATATTGTTGTTCAAAAGGATTTGACCCCACTCTGGTCTATAAATTTAGGAGGTATGGTTAATGGTGCTGTAGAGACATGCAAGGAGAGCTTCCATAGGTTTGATAAATATCTGAACTTCTCAAACCCAAAGATCTCTGAGAATTTTGATCCGAATGCTTGTGGATGGGCTTTTGGCATGAATTTGTTTGATTTGATGGAGTGGAGAAGGCGGAACATCACAGGAATATACCATCGTTGGCAAGACATGGTAAGTCAAGATCATTTCTTGAATCCCTCCATCTTCCTAGCAGGGCATCCACACGACATAAATATATTTCCCTGTCCCAAATTATTGTAGTTTTAATAATTCAAAGCATAGCACTTGACTAGGCTTCCACATTTGCCCATATTAACATCTTACCCAAATGCTTTTTTTACACCGGGGAGAAATGGGTTGTTGCATTTAGTGTTAAACTAATACAAGGCTAGAGGTTTGATTTTGGAGAGTCAAGGAGGAATTCTAATACTCTCTTTGTCTCAGCTTAAGCTTCCCACTTCTCTTTTTTGGACGTCTTGGCTAAAGCTTCTCATTTCTGTTTTAGGAAATAATTAACACTCTTAAATGACAAACTAATCATCAAATATTAAGAATAATACACATAACATCATAGTTATCATCAATGACTCATTATGTTATATACTCCCTCCGTCCCATTGGACTTTGCCAACTTTTCCTTTTTTATTGTCCCAAAAAAGTTTGCCACTTTCCTATTAAAGCAACTAATTTGTGGTTCTACACATTTCTCTCTCCTCTGCACAAATTTCAACCACACAGTTTTTACAATTCTTATTTCTCACCTACTTTGCACTTGGCAAAATCTACTGGGACGGAGGTAGTACTAATCAAAATTACTTTTGAAAATATTCTCGAATTACTATTGTCTAAATAATTATGTCATTTTTCAATGAGAAGCTTAAGCTGGGACAGAGGCAATACATGACAGAAATGGGATGAAGATGCAAAAAAGGTGAGCCAAGTTAAGGAGACAAAAAGAAAAATGAATTTGGTTGATGAAAACTAAACAAGGGCAGCCTAATGCACATCAGCATATCTGCAATGCGAAGGTCCAGGCAGCATGTTACCACACGGGTGTATTTGGGACAATTTTCCCTTATCATTTTGGTAATGGCCATTCCCAAAACTTGAACCTGTAACCTCTCAGTCACACAACAATACCTTAGCGGATGAGGGGGCGTTTGCAAAAAATTAAAAAAAAGTGTTTTCAGCTTTTAGCTTAAAAACAATTGAAATGGGTGTTTTCAAGCGTTAGATTCTATTTAAATCAAGCACATAAAAGCCAAAAGCTGGAAGCAAGGTTGAAGGGTGTTTTAAACTGTTTTTCACCTTCTCTATTACACAAAAAGCACTTATTTTATCAAACACTACCAATTTTTACTTTTTCAGGTGCACTTTTTACTCAAGCACTACCAATTTTTACCATTAAGACTTTCTCCAAAATCATTTTTTTAAAGTAGAAGCAATCGCAAATACTCCCGAAATCAACTTAGTTTAATCATGTGCATGGATAGAAGGGGGATGAGAAAGGCATTGCATCTTTATCTTTAGTAAAAACTCTTCCCTGCGGCCCACATCTGCCCATTGCAGAAACTCGGGCGTGTTTTGGGAACTAAGAAGTTTCAAATTCCTGTTCTGGGACAGTTTGCGTAGAGTTGGGAATGTTTCAATAAATAACTCAAATCTTGGATTCTTCTGGTTTCCATCTTTTTTCTCATTTTGATGGGATTATCTGATGGAAAATAGTGTCCTACAAAAGTTCCAACCTTTATTTGTTTTCTTCCTAGCAACATTGATATATTTTTTAACACAATGCATTACTAGAAATGTATTGCATTTTATATTTAATTATGTACTAATATGTAATAGTTTCAAAATTTAAACATGCAGAATGTATTTATTATTGATCATCAAACAAAGTTATATAAAAAATAATACATGGATATTTACAAATGGAAAAATAGGTATACATATGTGGGGAAAAGTAAATGTATAAATTCATACGAGTACTATTCAATATTTACACGTTTCCCCCACATTTCGTCTCTTATACAGAGTATATTTTTTGAAATCCCATTCCTTGGTTTTTGTGTTTCGCGTTTCTGTGCTATGTATGTTACGTTTGTTTGTTTACTTGCACGCCTCTTAGACTTGATGGAAAAATTGGGGTTTTGCAGAATGAGGAGCGAACGCTTTGGAAACTCGGGACATTGCCTCCTGGGCTGATCACTTTTTATAACATGACTCATCCACTGGACCGGAAGTGGCACGTGTTGGGGCTTGGCTATGATCCGGCGCTTAACAAAACCGAGATTGAGAATGCGGCTGTTGTCCACTACAATGGAAATTATAAACCCTGGCTGGATCTAGCCATCACCAAGTACAGAACTTACTGGTCTAGGCATGTCATAAACAGCAATCCGTACCTTAAAATCTGCAATATCAATGAGCGGTAGAATAGAGAAAATAAAACTACTAAGTGCCCCCATCCCCCATTTATTTAGATATGATAAGTCTCTTCATTTCAGATTCACAGTTTACACTTTACATCGGGAAATCAGAAATGCTAGTGTTTATTTCAACTTGTATGCTGAAATGCCCCATAAGCCAGAGGGGGAGATTTGTACAACCGTCTTTCACAGTTGAATAGGATAAATCATTTTTCTAAGTGTTCTCAAGGGTTTTAATGTCAAGATGGAAGCCTCGCAATTACTATAGCTGAATTGGAGATTTTTTTTAATTCAATAGTTCAATCCTATGCTGCACAAAAACGCGAACTTTTGCTCAAAAAATGCTTATTTGGAGAGTTTCCAAAACGGAAACATACTCTTTCTTGAGAGTTTCCATGCTACATAGGTTCAATCACAATATTTTTTTAAATTGTAAGAATATCATATTAAGTGTGATAGTTTTTTTATTATGAAAAACAGTTTTTTTTATAATAATAACAAGAAATAATACAAAACATCATTTAGACGGTCATGACAGAGCCGGTCGTAAATCCTAGGAATAGACATTGAATCGGTTACCTCATACAAAGCAACTTGACGCGCTAGACACAAAACAAATAAATTTAAGCCTAAAACAATTGCAATTGAAATACTGCCTATAAAAAGTACTCCTGAAATCCAAATAAACCAAACATACTCGAAGTAACAATAAAAATAAGTACTACTCAAGGAAAAATAAAATTAAATAAAGTCATGTCACCAAACTCTTTCTGTCACGGAGGTGGTTCTTGATGAGGATGAGCTCTACCATTTTCTACGCAACCCAAAAGGTAGATGGAACCACTTGACCATACAAAGCTGGCCGGAACACCAAAATAACTCCCCACACTGAAGGAGACAAAACAACCCGAAGCGCCAGTGTCCGGAAAAGATTCGCCATAGCATCGAACAAACACAAGCGGAAAAGAAGAACAGTCCAGTTGGATCATACCCCTACCAAGAATCTTCAAAAGCTGATGTCATCTAGATCAAGTCATGGCATCCGTTAAGATCAAGTCATGGCATCCGTTACCTGCTATTTGTCACAGCCCTGATATGGAGCCGAAACCCTGGCCATATGTGTGCTTCATGTCCTCTTTGTCGTTGCTTAATCAGATGAGAAGAGGCAAAACACGCCGCCACCACCCCCTCGGGTTCTAGAGAGAGAAATTGTGCTTCTTTAAGTGCACGATATTTGAATCATATATGACGTATATTAGCTATGTTTTAGTTATTCCATAGTGACAATATCAGGGCAATACATATGGAAACTAAATTTGCAGGTATGAGAAGCAAAGTTTTGTAGGCATGAGTAGGCTTTAAAGTCTAATAACCATATATGAAAAGATAGTATATATATATGAGAAATGATCCAGTCCAGCACGTTTTTGTCCGAACGCCGTCCGAACATGGCCATTTGGGGCCCTTCCCGGTGGAATTTTTTGATGAAATGTTTTGAGCATGTTCCTCATCAAGTCTAGTTTGTCCATACCAAATTTCAGCTCAAAACTCCACCGGGAAGGCATTGAAATCATTTTTTGAAGTTGACTGCGTCAAAATGTACATATAAAAACGCAGTCAACTTCAAAAAATTATTTGAATGCCTTCTCGATTGAAGTTTGAGCTGAAATTTAGTATGGACAAACTAGACTTGATGAGGAACATGCTCAAAAAAATTCATCAAAAAATTCCACCGGGAAGGGCCCCAAACGGGGATGTTCGGACAGAGGGTTCTGTCCTAACATTCGGACCTAAACTTTTCTGTATATATATATATATATAGGGGGCGGTTCCGGTGCAAATCAAGTTTCCGGTGCTAACCTACAAACTAATCTCATGCGTTCAAGTTTGGCAAATCAAAGGCTGTCAATATAGAAGCCACCGTAGCAGACCGTGTGGTGCAACACACAAAACTGAAAACATACGGACACGATTAGTAAGTAAGGTTAGCATGGTAAATTAACATTTTTAATAAATGAGACACCATGATACGTAAGGAAATCCCAATAGTTTGGCTGACCCACGATTACAATTTCAAGCAATTTAGCAAATCAATAAAAGGGAAGATTTAACCACTTCCTAAATAACCTTCCTTTTTCTGAAACCTAAAATATTAAAGTTATGTAATATTATCCTCTGTTTTTTTTAATCGCAACATGTTGAATTTTACACTATTCAAATGCTCTATTTGGACTACATTTTACACTATTATTTTATGAAAATTATTTTTAAAAAAATATTGTTCAATTCATCTCATTACAAATTTTCAAAAACTGATTTTTAATTTTTTTTACTAATAGAGAATAACATATATTTACGGTCAAATATGTGCGTTGGCAAATGTGAATTGTTGACTGTTGCAACTAAAAAAGAACGGAGGAAGTATGCATTATATATTGATAATGGTGTGCATAGTTATGTTAGAACTTGTAATTTACGTAGTATTAAGTTTTTATTATTAAGAACTCATCACAGGTAGAAATGTCTGCATATTAAGGTTACGAGATTTGCATATTAAGGTTGATGAATGTGCATATTAAGGGTACATGATGTGCATTATATATTTATAATGTCTCCACAACTTATATTAAAACTATACAGTAATAAAATATGTTGGCGCTGCATTTTAGTAGTTCATATATTGCTTTTATCATTTTGACATGTGCACTTTAGAAGTTTTTATATTGCACTTCAGTAAATAAGTTGATATGTGCATTTTAAAAGTTCATACTACATCTTGTTTTTATGACGGCTGCATTTTAGTAGCTCATATGTTGCATTTTATCCTTCTGATATGTGCATAATAGAAGTTTGTATATTGCATTTTAGTAAGGTGACATATGCATCGTACAAGATCATTTGATGCATCTTATAGTTGTGACATCTGCATGGTAGATTGAAGTGATATGCATATGAAACTTATGGTGTCGCAAGCTGCATAATATTTGACAAACGTCTTCTAAATGGTAAACGTTTTGCATACTAAATTACAAGAATTTTGCATGAACATGAAATGGATCATTTGCTGCATTGTAGAAGACCATTTGCTGCATCTTATCTTTATGACATTTGCATCGTAGAAGACCATTTGCTGCATCTCATCTTTATGATATTTGCATTGTATACTCAATTGACAACATACAAATTTCATGGTGTCGCATGAAGATGGAGATGGATACATAGACAGATGTCTGCATCTATATCATAAAAATTCACCCCAATGCTATAGCAATTGGCTGCATAACCTGCTAATTGACCTTGTACCTCCTCAAACACCTATCCCCCTTCAGAACAAATTTGTGATGAAAATCCTTATAAGCAAGATCATCCCTTCTCTGTGGCCCAAGAAATTGTTTAGAAATTGACATTAAAAAAAAGGAAATTAACGAAGACCACATATGTAAAATGAAGTTCAACGAATAAAAGTAAAGTAATTAAACAAAAAAGAGAAGGAAGATGATACTATCAACGTTTAATATACACATCAATCAAATAAATAAAATCTTATGCATAGTGATTCATGAATACATTGAAAGATGATAACCACAAATTTCCAGTATAAAATTGGAGTTCATACAGAATACTGGATTCTATGGCGTTTGATAGCAGTGATTGAAAGAGATTAACCAGAAGCTTTGATATTAGTGACAGACGAAGAGAAGCAGAGAGATGGAGACGACTAGCTATTAATCGCAGAGATGGAAGGGAATTAATGAGAATTGCAAAGATGGAATGGATCTAACGAGAGTAGGCGGTTAAGGAATGGAACGTGATTCTTCCAGTATTAGATTTAAGTCAAATGACTAAAACATCCTTATGTGTAATAAGCTTGTTGTCTTCAAACCTGTAGAACCGAACGGTTATCTAATTAGATGGAGGGTTAGGATTAGGTTTGTAGGTTAGCATATTAGGATGGGTTTGCATTTGATCTCTCATCTATATATATATATATATATATATATATATATATATATATATATAGTGTTGAGGTTAATCATAGCTCAAGAACTATGTATGAAAAGATAGTACATACATATGTTGAGGTTAACTCAAACACATGATTTTTATGTGGAAACTCGAAAGGTTGAAAATCATGATACTTTTCAAGGTAAATCCAAGCATACTATCTTTTTATTAATATCTCTCACCATATTTATATTGTACAAGTATAAAACTTTGGAAAGCCATTAATGGAGTCCAAGCCTCTCTAAGCTAAAGGAAGAAGAAGGATCAAAAGGGGGGAGAGGCGCCCCTTTTCAGGAGGGAAGTCCTCCTATTTATAGGGAAAGGGGGGGAGGGGGTATACTAATGGGCCAAATTGGGCCGAACACGTTGGACTTCGTCAGACTAGTATATTAGGCTCCCAAAACATTAATAGGTCAGAGGTCTAATATCTCAACACAAAGTATATGAAAGTTCTTGTATGTGGGTGTGATAATTATTTATAACATTCAACTATACAAAAAAGATGTAATATATCTCCCAAAGAAGAGGTCGCATGTTCGGGTCTCATCCTAATCAAGGATGTTGTCGTTATTATGAGCAGATACAATGTCATACATCAGCTAGTTGATGGGGAGGGGCGATTGTACTGGACAGATAATGATACACTGGGAATGGAGTCACTCTCGTTATCCATCGAAAAAGAATTGGGAACTGTTCAATACATTTGAAGTGAGCAGAAGTGGCGGTCAAAAGATGGGCTTAATTATTAAATGGGCGTTATTTCAATACCTTTATATATACTACATATATGTTTTCCACCTAAATGTAATGGGCCTTAGTTATGTTATACAATTTAAATACTGAATGTATGGACAAAGAGAGACAAGCAATATGTTATACAATTTCCCCCTCTTAAACTCTCCCTCTTTTCCCTGATTCATCCTTGTCCTCTTTCTGATCTTCTTCCAGATATTTCGGAATTACCCAGATCACCACATTAAGTATCAGAGCTGCCACGATCCATGAAGATGGCAGAGGGGACACGCCTTAAGGAATGCTTGGAGGGGCAGAAACGACTGGAGCAATCCCTATTAGCGGAAACTTTGAAGAGAGAAGCGGCTGAGCAAAAAAATGGGGAAATTCAGCTTAGGAATCAAGAGATTCAACATGAAATTCTCAAACAACCGGAGATTATACAGAAGAAGATGGAAATGGTAAAGTTAAGATCTGAACCAACGCAGAATAACTCACCTCCAGCACAGTCCAGCTCAATGCCCC